ACCAATCAAAAACACATTAAGTATTTTAGAATAGCTCTGAGCATAACCAAGAATAGGCCAGAAAGTACTGGAAGAGCTTTTTGTAAGTGGTAAACCATCAATACCAATAACTAATTTAATTATGTTTTCATTTACATACGAAAAATTACAATGGGATTTTAAGCCGTTAGCAACACCAAAATGATAATAATATCCTGATTGAATCATTTTAATTTTATTTGGCTCACAAGAATTATTTGTCTTTAACACAGTTCTAGCATCTATTGGAAAATGATCAAAACAGCTATGATTCTTTAAAATCTTTAATAATGCCGAAAATACAGATAAAGTAATATTATTTTCAACTGTCCAATTTGCTAATAATTTAAGAATATAAATATCATAGTCAAAAAAATTTTTATTTTCATTTGACATACATTCATAGTCAGAGTCTGAGCTATAATAGTCACATTCAAGTTGATCTAAAATATTAACATCTAAATCAATTATGTTTGAAAATGTACCCTCTGATATATTATTTATTATATTAACATCACTATTAAATGAGGATAAATGTTTAGACTCAGTAACCAAATCGGGAATATTAATTTGGGAGGAATTAGATTGTGGTAAAAACTGTTCTCCAGACTGATTTTCAGTAATAAAATCAACCGTTTCTACCTCTTCCAAATATCTTCTACGTTTAGTAGATTTACTCACATGAAAACGAGACATATTTTCATATCATATGTAAGGTAGGATATTTAAAAATAAGTGTACATTAAATTGCTACTATAAAGTATTATAGAGATTAGACTTACCTTCAATAATAACATATAAGTACAAAATAATAAAAGACACAGCTAGTACTACAAAATTGTACAACAGTCAACAATATAGTAATTAATATATAGAATGAATATAGTAATTAAATAGCACACTTGAAATCAAATTATATAAATTCAATCAAAATTAAATAAATTAAAATAATGCGACGGTCAAAAACTGCAGCAGTCAACGGCAGTACGGCATCCACAATATATAAGAGTTCGTATAGTGTCGTATAGTGCAATGAAGAGTCTATGACTATAGGGCTAAGTGAAGAACTGAAGACAGTCATATTTCGATAGTAATCCTATTATAAATAAAAATAATTCTATTGGCGGGAGGAAGCGGCTCGCGGTGTTTCTCGTGGAGGTACCCAGCGTGGCGGTAATGACGACGTTTATCTATTAATATAATATGGCCGGTTTCCCGATAGTTTAAGCGAAAATTATATAATAATATAATATTATACTATCTATTCCAAAAGCGAACGATCATTTTGGCCGTCCGGTTTTAGTCGATCCCATAAATCTCCGGCTAACAATAAGGTGGGGGAAATTTGGCCTTGGCACTGTCGCAGCCGTCAGTTGTATGCGCAAAAGTGTCGTCACTTCGGTCGATTGACGATTATCTTTTGGAAATTTGGAATAGAGCTGCAGTAGTGCAGTATAAATACATTTTTATTTAAACAAAATGCGCGTAATACTACACATTATTATAATAATAATAATAATAATAATAATTATTATTATTATAATATACATATATAGGTATTAGATAAATATAATATTATATGTATTATACAGCATGTTCAATGTAGGTATAATTTTTTTAACGAAAAACATTTTAATTCTAATCAATTTTGTGACATAATATATATATATATATATATATCATAATAATTTATGAATATTATAATGTGAACTTTTTATTTAACAATTAAATTTATATAAACTTTAATTATTAATACCGTAAAACCGGGTGAATAGAAACAGTGGGGTAAATAGAAACAAAAACAGGAAAATTATTATTTCTTCGTCCCTATAATCAAATATTTGTGTTATCAATATGCAACCTTCACTAAACCGAATATACACTAGTACGAAATTCGATAAGCTAGAAACGTTCCATTTATTTTTCCCTCCATGCACGTGAAATTGATAACAAACATGTACTATTTCTTATCAAAAAAAAAAACGTAAAATACAAACTCACTGTTTGTCATGAAATAATAACCTAACCGTTCACTTACACATTTTAATTGTTCGAGCTAGATGTCAGGAGTCGAAAATTGTAAGTATAATAATTTTAAATTCATTATTTTTTTTTTTATTACACATTTTATAAAATATCTCTTTTTGAGGGTGAATAGAAACAATCATGGGCCGTATTAAAAAAAAAAGATCCAAGAGCCAAAAAATATCAGATTCCCAATCCAAATGATTTAGAATCGGCCATTCGCTGCATAAAGGCACGACAAATGACCTATAGAGAAGCTAGTGAAGTATATGGTATACATTATTCGGTACTTTTCCGCCATGTCAAAAATTCGAACATGAAGGCACAAGGTGGACAAACTGCACTGTTTCTTTCAAACTTTCCACTGAAGAAGAAAATCATATAGTATCATGCCTGTCTCTTTGTGCAGAATGGGGCTATCCATTGGATAGGTATGATATTAGAAGGTGGTGAAGGGATACCTGGATCGACGTGGTAAAAAGGTGAGACAATTCAATAAAAACAATTTGCCTGGAAAGGATTGGGCAAATGGTTTTCTGACTAGGCACAAAACAAAACTTGCACTCAGATTATGTCAAAATATAAAACGTTCTAGGGCAGCTATTACTAGAGAAACATTAAATGATTACTTTGACAACCTGGAGATTTCTATCGATGGTATTCCTCCTAGTCATATTGTTAACTACGATGAAACCAATCTAACCGATGACCCGGGTAGACGTAAAGTAATTACAAAGCGTGGATCGAAATACCCTGAACGTGTTATGAATAACAGTAAAGCTTCTACTTCTGTAATGTTCGCTGCTGCAGCTGATGGAGTACTCCTACCTCCATATGTTGTACATAGATCAAAACATATAAGTGATACATGGAGAATTGGTGGTCCTAAACATACCCGTTTTAATCGCACAAAATCTGGTTGGTTTGACAGTTTTTGTTTTGATGATTGGATCAAAACTATTGCTATTCCATATTTGTCTAAACTTTCTGGGACAAAAATATTAATTGGTGATAATTTGTCATTTACATTTACCCATGTTAATTATAAGAATTATGTTTATGTATGTAACCTATTATTATAAGTGATAAGTAAATCCAAAGACTGGAAATTAAAAGACTAAAATGTTAATTTAATTTTAATTTTTATTTATTCATATTTATTCATGACTAATATTTTATGACAAGGTGTTATTTTTATTTTGTTTTTTTATATTTATTGATACAGTTGGTAAATGTTGTTGGATTTTAATAAAAAAAAAAAAGTTTAATGGCAAAAGTTGTGTACAATTTTTTAAAAATATCAATAATCGTTTCTATTCAAAAACCTGTTGATATAATAAAAAAATATATAAAAAAGTCATAAATAATTCTATTGTCACCAACTATCGGGTCAATAGAAACAGAGCACTTAAAACAATATATACAATTATTTATTGAAACTAAAATATTTTTGAATCGACAGGTTTAAAGTACTCGACAAGACCAGTATTTTGATGTACTAATCAACTTAGTAGCTCAAATAGATAAGTTTTTATGATACTTCAAAGTTCAAAAGTGTTTCTATTCACCCGCTTTTACGGTATGTTATTTAATGTATGCATTTAATATTAATACAACCATATATTTCAATTGAAAATATAATATGAAATTTTCAATTAAAACCAAATCAAAACTACATATTTAATTAAAATACTGATTTCCTGATGGATTTTCAATATTAATCGTTATATCTATAAGGTTGGATAAATATCAAGTATAAAACATTTATTCAATTATAAGTTTTCGTTAATTTTTAAATATTTCTTTTCCAATATTAATGAATTCTTATTAAATGTTTCAGGTTCAACATAAAAAATTAAAGATATATTCAATGTTGAACAAACTTTTTATTTCGAATATTTAAAATTCAATCATACATAAATATTGTTTCAATCGTTATGATTGACAAATGCTGTGTGGGATTATTAATAGTGTCGATTTCAGTTTCGTCTTTCGTGTTGCGTTGTTCACTGTTGTAATTATTATTTTGGTTTATTTTGCAAATAAAAATTTAAGCCTCCAAATTAAATTTAAATTCAATCAAATCTCCACCTATGCATTTTAGTTATAAATTATTTAAAAAGAAATAAACATATTTTACAATTGAAAATTATTTTTTATTATGATTTTACAGTTTTTAATTATTTAAATATAGGCATACTATTGATCACAAATAGCTATATTATAGTTAAAATCTTAAAAAAATTTATTTTATACTTCAAACTAGAAAATAATGATTAAAATGATTAAATAGGTATAATAATAGGTGTTAGATAATTTGTAGATAATAATGACGCGGACCCGTGCGGCAGCCGTTATCGAAACGTCTGTCGCCGACCGTGCCTATGTCTCTCTCATCAACCACCAGACCGCGGCACGCAACGCCGCCGCGACACCCCGTCCCCCCATCCATCAATGGTCAGGAGACGCGAACGGTCGCGACGACGCCCGCACGGAATACTATCCAACCGGTCCGGTCGGGTTGTTCTTAATAATGATGGGCATAATCGAATGATCTTTATAATCAAATGATTAGTAATCGAGAGAATCTCTCGAAAAATTTCGAGTAATTTTTCGTTTGATAACAAGATTTTCGTATCTCGATTATTAATATTTCGAATGATTATTTCGAGACATCTCTCGATTATAAAAATGTCTCTATTACTAATATTATCATTGATAAGAATAATCATTCAGGCGTCGGGAAGGTGGCGTCCCCATCGCCCAGGGCATTTTTACTCAGTGCTCTGCAGTAGCCCCTTGATCTTCATTGGTTGGGGTAGTCTGGTCCTCTAGGTTGGGGGTTAAGCGTAGGACTAACAACCCTACCTCGTAAAAAATATATTGTTATGATACCATCACTAAATCAGCCTCGGACAAAGAGAAACGGTTTACAGACTGGGCACGGATAACGGACAATGGAGTTTAAGATAGCGACCGGGAATGTAATGAGCCTTTTTAGAACTGGAGCGTGTAAAAACCTAATGGAAGTATTGGACGTATATAAAATTAAAGTAGCAGGTATTCAAGAAGTAAGGTGGGCTGGAAAAGGACAATTAAAAGTAGGAAAAAATATTATATACTTCTCAGGAATGGAAGAAAGACACCAATTTGGGTGCGGATTTGCCGTACACGAAACCAAAGAACTGCACATAAAGGAATTCAACCCTATATCAGAGAGATTAGCAGTACTAAGAATTGACACTAAACCTATAAATATTGCCTTAATATGCACATATGCACCAACGAAAGCAGCTGACGAGGATATAAAGGACACCATCTATGAGGATCTGATCCAAGCATATGACAAATTGCCAGGGAATGCAATTAAGATAGTATTGGGCGACTTCAACGCTAAATGTGGAAGAGAAATTCAGTTTTCCCATACGTTAGGGAAAGAAAGTCTTCATGATATAAGCAATGGGAATGGGCTTAGGCTAATATCATTCGCAACAGGTAAAGATATGATGATAAGTAGCACAATGTTCCCACATAAGAAAATTTATAAAGGTACATGGAAGTCACCAGATGGCATTACAATTAACCAGATAGATCACGTTCTCATCCAAAAAAGGTTCCGCTCTTGCATTAGAGACGTACGTAGTTATAGGGGAGCGGACTGTGATACGGACCATTTTCTAGTCGTAGTGAAATTTAAATTAAAATTACAAAGTCAGAAACGACTGGGGAGCAATAATAATATACCGTATAATTTGGAGCGCTTGAAGGATGACAAAATACAACAAGAATTCTCAGTAAAGATGAGAGAACATGTTTAGAATATTGAAGAAGAGGATATAGAAGAGGAATGGTGCAAAATAAGTAAAGCTATTAAAAAAGTTGCAGAACAAATTATTGGTAGACTAAAAAATGGGAAGAAAAAATGGTATAACGAGAAATGCAGGGAAGCGATAGAGAAACGACGTATGGCTCAGGATAACTACGTAAAATATAATGACGCAAACACGAAAATAATATATGAAATAGAGAGAAAAAATTGCAAGAGAATTATACAAAGAGAAAAAAGAAACTTCTTAAACAGTATACTACAGGAAGCTGAAAAAGATCGTTCGCAAAGTAGTATAAGGAACTTTTTCAGAACCATCAGGCATTATAATTCGTTCAACCCAAGCTTGAAAGCTATTAAAAATCGTGATAGAGAAATAATTATGAAACCAGAGCTAAAAGCTATAAGGTGGGAAGAATACTTTAACACATTGATGGACAGTACTGCTATAGCAGTAATTCTTAAATTTGATGTACGTATATCACTACTGCTATAGCAGTAGTTGAAAAACCGTTCATTATAATGCACTACTGCTATAGTAGTACTATTTTAAATGGTTTATATGATAAAGTATTATTTACTGTCCCACTACAACTCAACGGATCATTGGGCATTGTATTTTATAACCACTTATTTCTATTTTTAGTATTTGCCGTTTATAATGTTATCGGGAATTTTATTGACAATTATTTCTGAAAACTGTTTATTTTCATTTTAAAATTAGTACCATACAGTATAACAAATAACAATCTGGCTAATAATATAATCATTGTTTATAGTTTATAAGTTATCGATTGTTTTCGTTATATTTAGTTTTGGTAATCCAGTTGCAGTTGTGTGTCGACTATCGAGTTGTTAGTATATTTAAGTAAATAAATATCAAATATAATAAATATTATGTCCCAAAAAAATATCGAAAAAGTATGTGATTATTTAGATGAATCGTTAGAATCTGACTCTGACGAGTTTTCATTCGTAGACGATTCAGATGCTGATCCCGACTACAGTTTTCCGTGTAGCAATAAAAATATGTTACCAACACCATCTAGCTCTAATGTAGAAGTCCAGGCTGAAACAAGTGGCGAAGAATCATTTGAGGTAAGCTCTAGTAACAGTGATAATAGTGTACCTGAAACCGATGATGATCAATGGGTCGAGAACTGGGTAGACATTCCAGATTTCCAATTCAATAGTAGTGATTCTGGAATAAAACTCGATATTCCCGATCATGCAAAAGATAACCCTTTACACAGTTTTGAAATGCTATGGACCAAAGAAATAACAAAAATGATAGTTTTGTCTACGAATAACTATGGTATTAAATTGGGCCCACAAACAAGACCACATAAAAAATATTCTCGTAACACTGAATTCAATAAAGTAGATTTTGACGAAATGTATAAGTTTTTTGGTATTTGTTTGCTGGCTGGTTCTGTAACATTTGCTGTAATCAGGGACATGTTTTCCAATAACCCTCTATACTATTATCCGATAATATCAAAAACAATGTCGGGCAGGCGTTTTGAAAAAATCTTGAGATGTTTTAGTGTAGAATATTGTGACCAATCAACAGAAAATGATCCAAACGATCCGTTAAAAAAAATTCAACCTCTTTTTAATAGTCTTTTAAATAATTTTAGAAAAGCATACACTCCATATGAAGCTCTATCATTAGACGAATCTCTTCTTCTTCACCGTGGACGACTCATGTTTAGGCAGTACATGCGGTTGTTATGGGCTACCATATTCCTAGAACCATGTATAAATAGAAATCGTGCGTATCACAATATTATATGTATTACACATCGTTATATTTAACTAATTGGTCATAAACCGAGTAGGAATATTAAGAGATGTAATAAAATTGATTCCTAGAATAATGAAGTAGATCAGACGGACAAGGCTTATCACTGAGTATTGCCGAAATAACAAGATATAATAAACTGTTAATCCGTATTCCTAGAATAGTGAATTAGGTCAAAAGAGCAAGGCCTATTGCTGAGTATTGCCGAAACAACAAGACCAATGACGTCAATCAATCCATATAAAAGAGGGATCAAAATGACCACAATGCAGATGAGTTCTAGTCACGGAACAACAAGCTACTCCACGTCACTTTGTATTAGAATTTTGTTAAACACTTTGAGTATTAAAATAAATGTATTAATGTATTAAAAGTCTCATGTCTATTTAAATTAAACACATCTTCGACTCGCAACACTTGAAATCGAGCCGGTGGCATGTAACACGGTTAAAAAAAGCGAGGTTTGGAATAAAGTTTTTTGAGCTTTGCTCACCCGGTGGATATTTACTAAATATGGAAATGTACAAGGGAAAGAGAAATGAAACTCAAACTGGACCTACATCAAAAATAAATAATTTAGTTTTTCGTCTTTTAGAACCTTTTGTTGACAAAGGTCATACCATTTTTATGGACAATTATTATAACAGTGTATGTCTTTCAAATCAACTTTTACTACGAAAAACACATACCACTGGTACTTTACGTAGTAACCGCAAAGAAAACCCTAAGTGCTTACTGACAAAAAAATTGAAGACTGGAGAATATATATAGCGTCGCAAAGGAAATGTATATATTAGCAAATGGAAAGACAAACGAGATGTACTTGCAATAACTACAAGATACCAGCCTATGCTTTCAAATACAAAAAATCGATTTGGCCACGATAAAAGTAAACCCATTGAAATAATTCATTATAATGATAACATGAGTGGCATTGATAAAACAGACCAAATGATGAAGTATTATAGTAGTCCAAGAAAACAATCAAGATGGTACAAGAAAGTATTATTTCACCTATTAGATATAACTGTTTGGAATACATTTTTCATTTATAAAATACGATTTGATTGCAGTTCTATGCGTTTTAAAGATTTTCGTGATATATTGGTAAAAAATATGTTGAAAATTCCACTAGACAAAACTGCCTTACAATTTTTCAAAAATGTCACAGCAAAAGAACCAAAAAAAAGATTATCGGGGCACTTCCATGAAAAAATTCGACCTCCACCTAACTATAAAAGGGAAGTTTATTACGAGAATTGTAAAGTGTGTACAAAAAAAAAAATAAGAAAACAAACACAATATCAATGCAGAGAATGTGATGTTCCACTTTGTGTTGGAATATGTTTCGAAGACTTTCGTAAAAATATATGATTGTTTGAAGTGCCATGAAGAACACTTTTATTGTTATATTATCACTTTTATATTTTTTATACTTGTATTGATTTAGTTAGATCATATTTTTAATTATTTTCTAAGGCAAAATAAGTTAACCGAGTTGTGGTTTTTTATTGCTATAAACCTATATTATGTCTATTTGATGTATTTATTTATTAATTTATGTATTTATTATATATAACTTTTTTAGATTTCAAGTTGAAAAAAATAAATAAAAAAAGAAGTTTTTAATTTAAATTGTATATTTTTGTTTAAAAATATTAAAAATATTGAATAATTTTAAGGTACTACTATAGCAGTAGTGATATACGTACTTGACATTACCATTTAGGTGGACAGTACTGCTATAGCAGTGGTCAAATCACTACTGCTATAGCAGTAGTATTTAATTGCGTTTCTGAAGGTTCTTAAGAAAAAAAAACAAAATTCAGAATGTCCATCAATGTGTTAAAGAACTATTGAATGCGGAGGTACCAGTAAATCCAATAGTAGGTAAAACCTTCCAAAGAGCCGAACCAATGCTGAATGAAGTAACTCAAGAGGAAACTGATAAAACGATAGTTAGCCTAAAAAATTGGAAGGCACCTGGTTCGGACAGCATACCATCAGAGCTAATCAAATATGGGGGCAAGCAGCTACATTATGCCATTTTCAAAATTAGCCAAAAGATTTGGAGAGATGAACGTGTGCCATCGAGCAGGAACGAAGCGATAATTATACCGTTACATAAAAAAGGGGACAAAACAATTTGCGAAAATTACAGAGGCATCTCATTACTAAATTCAGCTTACAAAATATTCTCAAAGATACTGTTGAACCGGCTAGAGCCTTACGTGGAAGAGAACCTAGGAGAATACCAGTGCGGTTTTCGGAAAGGGAGATCAACGATCGAGCAGTTGTCAGTAATTGGTCAAATAATAGAGAAAAAATACGAATACAGGCAAAACATTTGGCAGTTATTTATTTACTTCAAGAACGCCTATGACAGTGTACATCGGGAAAGTTTATACAATATAAGGGATGAAGTTGGAATTATAAGGAAGTTTCTGTGCTTGAAATGCCCTACTATCGTTCTACATTTTTTTAAAATTTGATTTATATTAGAGTTTCCATTTATTGCCTCATTTATACTTAAGTTTAGTGTGTGTGCCACACATGGGTGATGGTGTTTAAGAAGGTGTTCGTTTATTGCATTTTTAATATTTGACCCATTGTCTGAAACCACAGTTATTATTTTATTTGCTATATTCCATTCATTAAAAATATTTGTAAGTGTAACGGCTATATTTTGACCAGTGTGTCTGTCAAAAACGTCTTTAGTTGCAATAACTGGTGAATATAATTGGTCGTCAAAAATAAAATGGCACGTCACTGTTATATATGATTTATTGGAATCAGATGTCCACATATCTGTCGTAATTGATAAATCATTTACATTTTGAAGAATAGATTTTATTTTAAGGAGTATAACATTATATTCTTGTGGTAATAATTTCGAAATTAATACTTTTCTACTATGGATCGAATAACGTGGTTGCAATTTTTCGCTATCTTCAATAAATCCAACGTTTTCTACTAACGAGAGTGGTTAATAATCCGCGACAATCATTTTAATTAAAGATTTATTAATAGCCTTAATTTCAGAATCACTAAGTTCATTTACTTTTGTCGAACCAAAAAGTTTTAGTTGACGAGGCCGTTTTGATGGTGGCTCAGAAAATTGTGACGAAATTAAATGTTCAGATGATAAATTAGAAGAAATTGCTGAAGTTGAGGGATTAAATGTATTTTAGGTAGTCTGTATTAATTGGTTATCTGGATCATCTTCATTATAAGTGATCGGATTGAGTTTAGTTGGGTGCATTCGTTTTAAATGTTTTATTATAAATTTAAAAAGATACGAAAATTATGAAATTAGTATTTATTATAGCTTAATATTATAAAATACATATAATAAATAATAGTATTATTTTCAAGAAAACGCACGGAACGTGGAAGGGCATTTCTATAAAATATGTGAAATGCAGTTATTTAAAATTTAAATTAATAAACTAAGCTGTTTCAAATAATTTCAAAGAGATTGGGTAAACAAATAGATAATTCCGTGTACCTAATTTAAAAGTTCTCGAAACCCTTATTAAAAAATTATAATTTTTAAGTACCTACCTTTTAAGTTTGTCGTGTTTCCGTAATATTTATAATCCTTTTTACATATTTGACGCTTAACAGTTCTATTATTAGTATGTTTTTCAAAATGATCCCATACAACGGAACGTTGTTTACAGCTCGGTCTCATATTTAAATAAATTAAGAAAATACTTCTGAAATTTAATACTTTTGAAATTATCGAAAAATAACAAAATATACGATTGTCAACTGTTAACTGCTAAAATGCTGTTTATGGCGTTGGCTTGCAAGATTGTTAAACAATTATATTTGGAAAAATCCAATCAAAAATCGTCAATATGTCCCTTCTAATAATAAACAGTAAAATGGTGATTTGTGGTAGCAGAATTTATTTATAACGTGCCTATGAATAAAAGTATTTTTGATAAAAATAATAAACGTATATTGTTTCATTTATAAACATACATCGCATTGTCACATGTCTGTATTTATTTATACAACCGAGTTAGAATGTAGAAATGACTAAAAACAAAACTATCACAAATTAAAAAATAAAAACATCAGATAAGGTAGTTATAGCCGGCTAACTATCATAATTAAAATTTTAAAATTTTACATTTCACACCTTATTGATCTTTTATAAGTTCACAACCAGCGAGAGAATCAGAACTCAGAAGTTTAGCCTGTTCAGGACTAAAGTACATAGGTATGTAACTAATAAATACATATAACCATAAATATGTACTACATTGAAAATTGTAATGTCATATGTGAACTATTTTTCAGATTTAAAATGTACTAAATCAATTACCAGATAATAATTCAAAACATTTCAAAATTCGATTACTGAACTCATAAGTTATGAGTAAAGTAATCGAATGATTTCAATAATTGAAATATTAGTAATCGAGACATTTTTATAATCGCGAGATGTCTCGAAATAATCATTTGAAATGTTCAATTGAAATATTAATAATTGAGATAAACGTTCTGAGAAATTTTTGTTGTTTTGTGGTTGAGTAATTCAAAAATTATAGCTATAAATTTATGTCAAACTTTAAAATATAAATAACTAAGAATAACCATATACCTATCAATATTTGTCTAACGACCAGTCCCACGAGTATATAGTACGAGTCGAAAATACCGACTCAAAATCAACAACTAGTATTTACTTATTCGATTATGAAGATTAAAAATAGTATTCCTCCCTCCCTCTTTCGTTCCATGAAAATAATATGAAATGTTTTTTCATTCGATATACATTTCGAGTCAAGTATTGATTATTTTTAAAATAAACGAGATATCACTCAAAATAATCTCTCGAGTTTATAATTGAATTATTATTTTGATAATCGAGATATTACTCGAAATATCTTGGTTATATAATCGAATTATTATTTTCATAATCGAGATATCTCGATTACGCCCATCACTAGTTCTTAGAACACCGTGATCCTGAACGGACCTACTCATCGACATTTTTTCTCACGTCTTTGTAAATCTCATTCAACTTTGTTTTTTTTTCATTATTATCTAGTTTTTTTTGACGTTTTGTTAATTTCGGCGCGTCCTGTACCACCGCTCCTTTATTACTTCACCACCGATTATTATTTTGTTAGTGTTTGTGTAAGTAATATAAGGCCACCGGCCAATACCGCCTTCACCGTTGTCTCTTTTTTTTTTTTTTTTTTTTTTTGGTGTTACGATTCATAATCATCTACACCGTGTGTCGTGTCGTACATCAACGGACCACGACAAAATTGGCTCCTCGCAGAGGAATTAAGGCTTTTAAATGCATCAACAAATACGGCAATATGCAAATCCTCAAAAACGAAAATGACACAATATATTCAGAACCTTCAGAAATCGCAAACGAACTTAGCTCCTTCTTTTCAAAAGCTAGTAGTACTGAAAGCTACCCCCTAGATTTTCAAAGATACAAATGTGCTCAAGAAATTGTACCTCTCAACTTCTGCCAAAATCACGATAACACACATATTAATAGTTCTCTCACTATCCAAGAAATGGAAACAGCCCTCGGTACCAAGAAAAGCAATGCTTGTGGAATAGGCAACATACCCACAATCTTTCTTCTTAACCTTCCAAAAAACGGAAAACTCTACCTGCACAAGATCTTTAATCATATTTGGATAGAAAACCAGTACCCAACAATATGGCTAACCGCTATAATCAAACCGATCCATAAACCCAATAAACCTAAAAACCTCGTATCTAGTTACTGTCCTATATCCATTATATGTTCCATGACAAAACTACTGGAAAGAATAATTAACTCAAGATTAATGTGGGACCTAGAATCTAACAATCTATTAGTCAATTTACAACATGGTTTCCACAAAAATAATTCTACTTTGGACTCCTTAGCAATTATTCACAATTAAAGTAATTGACGCGGACCCGCGTGGCAGCCGTTATCGAAACGTCTGTCGCCGACCGCGCCTATGTCTCTCTCATCAACCACCAGACCGCGGCACTCAACGCCGTCGCGACACCCGCCTCCCCCCCCATCTATCGATGGACAGGGGACGCGAACGGTCGCGACGACGCCCGCACGGAATACTACTCAACCGGTCCGGTCGGGTTGTTCTTCGAACACCGTACGCCTGAACAGACCCATACGCGTTACATCGTATTTACGCTCATTTTTGTCAAATCTCATTTAATCATATATTTTTTTTTCCTTCTGTTATTTCTTATATTGTTTTTTGACACTTTGTCAAAACTGACGCGTCCTGTGCCGTCGTACTTTATCGCACCGCCAACAATTCGTAATTTCTTTTGTGTTTATGCAAGCAATAAAGGCCACCGGCCAGTTCCACCTTCAT